GCTGGAGTGCGGTGGCATGACCTCAGCTCACTGCAACCTCCACCTCCCGGGTTCAAGCGATTCTCCTGCCTCAACCTCTTGAGTAGCTGGAACTACAGGCACGCGCCACCACGCCCGGCTAATTTTTGTATTTTCAGTAGAGATGGGTTTTCACCATGTTGGCCAGGTTGGTCTCGCACTCCTGACCTCAAGTGATCTGCCCGCCTCAGCCCCGCAAAGTGCTGGGATTACAGGCATGAGCCACCATGCTCGGCCTTAGGTTTTCTAGTTTAGAAAACATTGTGTGTACCCTTCTAGGCTTCTGAGCAAGAAGTTTCTTCACTGGGCTTTCCGTGTTATTTTATACTTTTTAGTTAACATTCATAGTGGTCCTAAAATCAAGATGCAGCCCTAAGCACCTCATAGGAGGATAGGAGGAGCTGTTTTTCTTTTTTTTTTTTTTTGAGATGGAGTCTTGCCCTGTCACCCAGGCTGGAGTGTAGTGGTGTGATCTCAGCTCACTGCAGCGTCCGAGGAGGAGCTATATTTTAAAGGAAGATACTCAATACTCGAAGAAGCAGATCATCAAAATTTTTAAAAGCAGCTGGGCGCAGTGGCCCACGCCTGTAATCCCAGCACTTTAGGAGGCTGAGGCGGGTGGATCACCTTAGGTCAGGAGTTCGAGACCAGCCTGGCCAATGTAGTGAAACTCCATCTCTACTAAAAATACAAAAATTAGCCAGGTATGGTGGTGGGTGCCTGTAATCCCAGCTCCTCAGGAGGCTGAGGCAGGAGAATCGCTTGAACTCGGGAGGTGGAGGTTGCAATGAACCGAGATCATGCCATTGCACTCCAGCCTGGGTGACAAGAGCAAAACTCTCTCAAAATAAATAAATAAATAAATAAGATATAGAAATATGGAATGCTTATACAGTATTATTTCATAGTTTTTTTTAATTTCATGTTTCTAATGTTTAGATAATCTTAAAAGAAATTCTCCACACTTCCCCTTTATCCTCCATCTTTCATCAAAGGGAAAAAAAACAGTACAAGTACTCTTTTGCCTTTTTCCAATTAATCCAAGTTCCTTAGAAATATTGCTGTTTGGGTGAGAGTTCTACTGAATATCCCGATTTCACAGCCAGCAATGACACTTTCAGCAGAAAGTTTTCTTGGCATCAACTCTTTAGTTCTCAGACTGCTTACTCATAAGTTCTTCTTGAGAACTTGTCAGCGACGCAATCTGTTTTGTCTTGAAGAGCACAAGACTCAGACAGTTGTCACTTTGGGGAGAGCACACAGCATCTCAAACAGCAGGTTAGCCGCCAGCAGGGCTGTGTTCCCTACGAAGAAGTAAAACCTGACATGAATACCCTGCAGACCACCCCCTGAGCCAAGCCTTGGGACTCCTCAGCTTTCTTCCCCTTGTGCCTCCTTTTCCAGAGCCCTGTCTTGTACACCCCTCTAGGGTGCCCACCAGCTGTGAACACTCAGCCCGGGCTCTCTGCCTCCATCAAGCATCATTTGGAAATCATATTTTAAAATTCAGAAAGTTCTTTGTTTACCCTGAGAACAGATTTTTCCCAAAGGAGAACCTATAATAATGATGTGTACTGTATATATTATCTACCCTCTGAGGTCGATAGGCCTAACTCCATAAGCTTGTCAACATTAAAATTATTGGGATGGCATCTGCTTCCAAGATCTTAACCAGCTAAGTTCCTACGTGATAAATATTAACACATATTATTTATGCTTTAGAATAGAATTCACTTGGCAATGAAACGTCAAAGGAGAAGGGGACTGGGCCACTCTGTCAATAGACTGCAGGCTGGTTTCTTTCTCTTCTGCTGATTGGTGGGCAAGCTAATAATACTTAGCTACCTCCTAGGGGTTTTGTTAGGGTTAATGA